AGGAAACTAAAAGGAGGATCCAAAGGAGGCAGCCCGCCAGTAAATTTAGAGGGTTAACGCTTTTAGAGCAACCGGGCTCTTTCCAACTGCCTGCTCGGTCATGCTCGCTTTGTTATCCCTCTCCATGGTCAGTACTCACTGACAGCTGAAGAGGAGATGGTTTCTCTGCCATCATCTCTCTCTAAGGCTTTCTTTGGATCCTTCCAGCGCATGTCCCTTTTCCTTCCATTGGCCAGATTTACTTCATATGCGCATGCTGACAGCAGCCGCAGCCAAGGGTAAGGGGCCTGCCAAGACCAGTGAGACCGCCAAGACCAATTTGGACCAGTGAGGATTTACCGAAGGAGATGGGGGAAAGGATCCCTTCAAATGAAGTCAAGTTACACCACCAAGAAGAAGGGAGTGGTTGTTAGTTAGGCACCAAGCAGTGAGTGGCTGGTATGCTTTTTCTACAGTTCTCATTAGTTCGATATTTCCCAGGCTCTGCTCGGTGTTAAGAAATGATCATGGTTAGTCTGTAAGAAAGTAAAGCCAAAATGAGGGTGTGTGTTGCTAAGGTCAGATGAGTTTGGGGAGGGCTTTGTGACCTACACCGGATTACTTCTCATAGTCTCAGTACATGCTAGCAAAGGTGCAGAGTGGCCTAATAGAAATAAATGTGGTTGGTTTTGTTGAATTCAGCTTTCAAAACTATTCTCAACATCCTAGCTGGACCAACCCTTCTGAAATGTAAATATCAATAGTCCCTTCCTGCTGAAAACCCTCATTGGCTTACCATTATCTTCAGGGGAAAGCCTAAACTTCCTAGAATGGACTATTAAACCTCCTCTCATCAGGCCTCAGTCTGCCTCTACAGTTTCCTATCTCATTCTTTTCTCTCTCATCTTTGCTTTGGTCATACTAAACGTTGCATATCCACACCTGTTTTCTTGTATCTGTGCCTTAGAAACATGCATCTCCCTTTGAATGCCCTCTACTGCATCTCCCCACCCCCCCACCACACTTACTAATCAAGGCCACTTACACTTCTGAGCAAGGATAGTAAGTACCCCTTCTATCTTTCATAACACCTATCACACTGTGCTACTCTAATTGAATTCATATTAGATTTATTATTGGAAGGTATTTATAAATTAATGTCTTAACTCATTAAAAAGAAGGAAGCATAGATTCAGCCCCGAGCTGTTTGTTCTAGCTGTTCCATTTGGGCAAGGGTGGGAAGTGGATTCTTTCATGAAACACAGTAGCAATGATAGATGTGTCCTGAAAAGCTGGATGGGTAGATCAAGCAGTTAGACTGCAATGGGCCAGTAGAGTCAGACTAGGAAGGGAGGCTTTGGTAAACCTTTGGAAGATTGAATTTTCCCCCACTTCTTCCCCCAAATAATAACAACAATGGGTACCATTTGTTAGCATTTACCATAGGCTGGGCAAGTTTCCAAGAGTTCCACATAAATGAACTCTCATAGTTTCCATCACAACCTTAAAAAGAGGCACCTCTGTTGCTATAAACGTCTTTAGCACTGACATGTGGAAAGGGACACAAAGAGGTTAATTCACTTTCCTAAATTCATATAGCTAGCGAATGGCAGGTCTGAGATTTTAAAGTAAAGTGGCTTTAAAAGAATAGAGCCTACAACATACAGAACTCTCAAGATGAAATAACAAAAAATGGAAAGCGACTGGGTAGAAAATAGGCAAGCAGTAACATTTAACAGACCCCGAAAGTCTGACTCCTCAGTTAACTGCATAAAGCCAAAAGCTTGGAGACGCTCGTGACATGTGTAAGCAAAAGTGGACCTAGAACAAGGGGGCTACTTAAATGTCTGTTGAAGAAGCTGTGGATTCCATGCACATTGTAACTGGGTACCTGCTTTTTTTCTGTGACAGCAAACTCAGTTTGTAGTCACCAACAGAGTAAAACAAGGAAGGGCTGTTTTGGAGCCAAGAACCTCAAGGGAGGGAGTACTGAAAACAGGAACGTAAGACAACTGGTGTGGATGCGATGATAAGACCCTTAGCTGTTCATTGCATCTCGCTTTGTGTTGCATTTGCAGGGATTTGACCAGCACAGAAGGAAAGGTGCGAACCGCAGAGGTTCCCTAACAAAGTAGTCCAGCAAGAAACACCACACGGAGTTTCCATGGTCTGCTTCATCGTTAAATATAAGCAAGGTTTCCGACAGGCCTGTCACATGAAAGGCAGAGAGACAAGTAGATTCAATGAAGAAGAAAGGATGAAGGGCGAGGAACACTATCAACATCACGGAAGAGAAGATGCCGAGTCCATGAAAAAAAAGGAAAAGTGTCTAAGGAACATTTAGAGAACCACCACCACCAAAGGAACATGACAACAGAAATGAAAATCCCTACGGAAGGCAATGGGGATAAAATGAGGGATCCTCTAGGTTGTGAAGCAAAATGACAAGGATATGAATTTTTAGGTGGGAAAGTAAGATCAGTCAAGAAGTCTAAGCCAAACCCACTGATGTTGGATCAATTCCAACTCGGAACCATCCTGTTGGACAGAGTAGAACTGCCCCATCGGGATTCCGGGGCCATTGTCTTCTCAAGGAGAAACTACCATATTTGTCGCCTGTAGCCTGGGGGTGGATTTGAACTGCCCACCTTTTAGTTAGCCACCTAGCACTTAACCACTACATGAGGGCTTTCCAAGAGCTCTACCATTCAATTAGTAGCAAGGCTAGAACATAGGACAAAGCAGGAAGGGAATGTGTAAAAGATGGAAGGTAAGAACATTTCCCCCAAATATTGGAGTTTTCACAAGGAAAATGTCCAGTAGAATGAATGAAAGAAACCACACTATTGTGAAATTAAAATTCTAGAACAAAAAAATCCTGCTGCTTCCAAAGAGGAGAAAAACCAAGAACCAGGGTTGAGAATCACATGAAAATTCTTCTGCAAGCTAGAAGGCAGCATAGTAACGCCTTTAGAAGCCCGAGGCCACGTGTGCTTTCCGACCTAGATTTCTACTTCCAGTCCACCAGTCACACCAAAATGTGCATTTAGAGGGACAGTTCAGCTGTAGGGTGACTTTCCCCTTGGAAAGTTAACGAGGCTGTGTTCCACAGAATGAGAGCAGAGGGAAAAAAAAAAAAAAGGAGAGATGTTTCTGGAAGCAAGTCATTCAATGGAGGAGGGAAAGGTGGCTCCAGGATTATGGAAGAGGGCATTCCCATGATGGGAACAGTACAGGAAGCCCAGAGAGCAATCTTTCCAGAAGGCTTCTGGGGAGGAGACACTTTTCCAAATAGACAAGGTCACTTGAAGACTTAGAGGTGTCCCTGCCCCAAGCCATGCTATTTTCATTCGCCTCGTACACAGGCTGGACATTTGGATGAAGGTGCTGGTATTTATCATTGAAAGCACCTTACCGAAAGAACACACAAGTCTGTCCTGGAAGAAGAACAACCAGAATGCTGCTTAGAAGCAAGCATAGTGAGACCGCATTGCACATATTTTGGACACGTTATCAGGAGAGACCAGTCCCTCTAAAGGACATGATGCTTGGTAATGGGGAAGGGCAGTGACAAAGAGGAAGACCCCCAAGGAGATGGGTTGACACAGTGACTGCAGCAATGGACACAAACACAAGACCATTGTGAGGCTGGCGCAGGCCAGGCAGTGTTGTCCATGGGGCTGCTATGGGTCAGGATCAACGCAGCAGCACCTAACTCTTTATATGAAGGTACCAAGGGGAGATGTGCCCAACGGATACATTTGTGCTAAGTTACCCTCGTGGCACAATGGGTTGAATATGGGGTTACTAACTACAAGGCC